CTTTATTAATAATTTAAAAAAAAACATACAATCATTATCCATACTTTATACATTTTTTACTTAAAGCTATGACTAATGTCGTCAGCTTTACCTAGCGATTGCCTACTTTTCTAATCCCTCTAATCTTGTAGTGAGTTTGATGTTATAATTAGTATATATTGTTGGTGTGCATACATAAGTGCGGTTAAAAGATCTTATCTATAATTTGTTGCCTATATTTTATCGCTTGATTAAGATATGTGCATAAATTTAGCCAGTTCATTCCATTAAAGATACTGTGCAATTCTGTTTGGCTCAAAGTCGTTTTCCCAAAATATTTGTACTTATTTCCTTTAAAATTGGGCAAATTGCGAGAAAGTGTATAACGTTTTCCGTTTCCTGTTTATTACATAGGCTGCAAACAGATAGTGCACCACTTACGTAGGGTAAATAATTGAGTTTGATGAGTTCAGTACAAGATTTGAAAATTTTACGAATATTTTCCACAGTATATTTATCATTAAAATAATTCATTTTCCCCAGATTGTAAGTTAGTTCTCTGTATGTTTGTCTAGAGTAGCATGTTTTGGCCTTATAAACAAATCGGTCACTATCACTTTGATCCTGTTTTAGGAGAATGCGCTGCTGCCAGTCAATCCAACCATTCATGTCCTCTAAATTCAAATTTTCTTCATGTTCCTCGGCTAAATTTAACCATACCGCAAAATACGAACTCCTTCTACCTAAAAAGTATGTCGCAAGCCGTTTGGTAAGTCTGCTATCTGTGTGTTTCATAACAGCGTTAATATATTGAAAGTGGGATTTTAAAGTACCGATATGTAGTGTTGATAAGCCAGTTTCCAGGTAGATTGCGTAGTCTGGCGTGTTGACCGGTAGACAAAAAATACGTTTGATAAAATAAGTCAGCAGTTTTTCCAACTCATTATATTTTTCAAAACCCCAAACTTGGGAAGCATAATTCATAATTGAGTTGACAGCAGCTTGGAAAACTTTGTATTTAACTGAAAGAGCTATCGTATCATTTCCTAATGCTCTTCTCCATGTGCTGTTTATTGCTAGTTTTGATTCTTTTAGCCTTTTATTAATGTGTGTTTCGAATGTTGCATTATATGTTATCCAAACACCTAAATACTTATATGTCTTAACTACTTCCAATAATTTACCGTTAATGTACCACTTTTTATCGCATGCAAGGCGCCTTGCATATTTTTTAAATATTATTATTTTTGACTTTGCTATATTGACTTCTAAATTCCAGGTATTACAGTAATCGTTCAGTCTATTTATCATTAGCTGCAAGGCTCTTGGTGACTCTGCAAACAGCACCACATCATCTGCATACATCAGAACCTTTATTTGCATGCCATCAATCATGATGCTACCGTTTAAAAAGTTAACCAGGTCATCTAAAAATAAAGTAAATAAAAGTGGACTTAAAACACAGCCTTGCTTAATCCCAGACTGTGTAAGAAACTAATCAGAAATAATATTTCTATCCCACACTGCTGCTTTACTACCATGATACAAGCTCCAAATAATCCGCATTATTTTTGTTGACAATCCTAAGTTCCTAAGCTTATAGAAGAGCGCATTTCTTAGTATTGAATCGAACGCCGCCTTGAAATCCACGAAAAAAACATAAAGTTTTTTGTTTTTGTCAATATACATTTTTGCAATATTAGTTAAAATAAAAATGTTATCCACAGTTGAATAATTTTTTCTGAAACCTGATTGAAATTCAATTAACAGTGCATGGTTATCAACCCATTCTTGTAGCCTCTCGTTCAAAATACTTGCAAATACTTTCGCCATGGCATTGTTAAAAGATATACCCCTATAGTTTTCTGGATTCTTTGTCTTGCCTTTTTTGTATAATGGGAAGATAATCGACTTGCGAAAAGAATCAGGTACATTGCCGCTGTTGTAGACATAATTAAATGATGCTGTCATATTTTCAATAAATAGATCCGAAGCATATTTAAGGAATTCCATGGGTACTCGATCCTCTCCAGGAGCTTTATTATCCTTACACTTGTGCAATATTTTTTTGACTTCTGCTACTGTAATCGTTCTATCTATTTCACTCATTTCAAGTATGGGCATCTCATAACTTAAACTCTCATTATGTATGCTGTTGTTTAGTATCTGCTCAAAGTGTTTACTCAGTTCCAGTGCGTCTAGCTTTGCATTTTTTATATGGCTCGTCCCAGTCAGTTTTCGAACTTTGCCCCAAAAGGATTTACTGTCCTTTGCTGTTGCTATTGAGATAGCTAGCTCATTATAGTGAGTCGCTCTTTTATGATGTAGAAGTTCTTTAAATCGTTTATTTGCTTGACTGTAGTTTGTCATGTCTTCCTTTAATCCTGTTTTTTTAACTCTTCTTAGCCATCGAAAAGATGTATCTCTTAATATTTTACATTCAGAGTCAAACCATTGGTTTTGTTTTACGCCAGTTTTTTGCTTTTGTTGCAGAGGCTTTGCTGCATTATTTATACAATTCATTAAAAACTCAATTCCATTTGTTGAGCATATTGTCGCTCTATTTACTCCAATAATTTGTTGATTAAGTGTTAAATTATATATTTTCTCGATACGTTTGTTCCAGTATAGTTTAGGTATCAACTGTAGACCTGAATTTTTCTCCGAAATAATTTTCCCGGCGTGGACACTTACTGTAATCGGCTGATGGTCAATAAAAATAAATAAAATCCTGCACTTTGAAATTTTTGATTCTATTTAACCAGATCCCCGCTCCTAAACCATAGTCAATCGTGGTGGCAATAGTTCCTCTGTGAAATGTATGCTTGCCATCTTTGTCGCCCTCGCATCTTCCGTTCAGCACAGTAAGACTTACCGTATTGCAGATTTCAAGTAGTCTTCTGCTATTTCTATGTACTTTGTCATCCATAGCTTTGCGCTTTGCACTTAGTCCATTGGCTAGTAAAGTTGGGTTAAATTCCAAACATTGCTCCTTACCAATTCTGGCATCACAGTCAACTAATATATACAGCTAATATATGTTCGCACCCTAATTCGAACAGTACATCACTTAAGTTTTTTAAATCCGCATCTCAGTTGTTGCAATTAATATATGTTGGAATAATGTACGCCAGTGTCTCTTCAAATTTTAGCTTAACTACCATCATATTCAATGTTTGTGTAAATCGTATATTCATTTTATCTGCTAAGTTCTTCTTTATTCCATATAACATACCGCCACTAGCTCTTCCTTTGATTGAGACCCAAGTTGCTGGAATCCACCATAATAAATACTTTTCAAACACTTTATCAATCTTCTCCAAGGATTTTTCCATGAACGTTTCAAATAAAAAGAACAGATGAAATGAGTTTACATAATTTATAAAATCGCAGTAATTAACTTTCTTTATTAGACCTGCTACATTAAATGCTAAAATATTTAACATTTCTTTTGAATTTCAATCTAAACTTAAACTACAGCTGACAACATTGTCTTTATTTAGTTTTTTTGAGAATTAATTGTTTGCAAAATCTCCCAACATGTTACATTTATTGACTCCAGGTTATTGCCATAAAGTACCTGCAGTACATCCCTTCCATTACTGCTACCACATTTCAGCTCCTTTTCTTTATTCCAATACAGCCATTTGTTGTCAATTTTCATACGATCCTCTCTAACTATTATATTACGGCTTTGATCTACAGCACGCAAATTTTGTTTTAGTTTAAGCATGACCCGTTTATCTGATTGTTGCTCTGCGCTTAAGTCCCTCTCAATTGAGATTTCCGTATTAGCGAGTTTTTTAATATTGTTGAAAATATTAAATATACACTGCTCTGCTTGAAACTCTGCAACGACTCCTATTTTGTCGTGTTTCTCAAATATTTTTCTTACAGAAGCTATTTGCACATCATCGACGTGCTAACTTCAGCACATAATTTCCGAACCGACAATGTTGGATTGTCAGTTTTTTTCAAACCCTTGATAACAAGCGATTTTCGTTTTCGTGCGTTTATAATATAATTAATATTACGTGCATCCCGTTCGCGCTGTTGTTCGAGCTGCATCATCTTCTGTTTTAGCACACGATTCTCTGCCGTTAGCTCTGTAATCTTACTAGAGAGTTCGCCCACTTCCGACACAATCACCTCTTAATCAGCTTTTGTTGGTAAGTTGCTTAGCTTTTCATCCAACAAGTCAGCCAATGATGCTCCTATTAACCCCATCAGTTCTGTTATATGCATATTCCCTACTTGCATTGTAGATTTAGCCTGGTTTATTTCTTCTGGGGAAAGTTCTGTCAATGGTCTTTTAGCTGCTGAGGTTCTTACTTGTATTTTTGAAACTTGCGTACTCGGTTTATTTGGTGTTCCTACTGATGACATTTTTGAAGTTGTACTTTAATTTTATCAAATTCAGTTTTTGATGCTTCACCTAAAAGTCTATGAGAAAATTTATATGTATATAGCAGCTTAATACTTTTTTTAAAAATAAGAATTTGTTAGCATAGACTCAAACCACTCTGAGCTTTACTACGTGTAATTTGCTTTACGTTCCACTTATCTTCAGCACTTTTATTTACAATTGGTAATTACTGTTTTTGAATGCAACGCTATCTTGCCTGCAGAAGTCTCAATTGTATAAGATTGTACTAATCTTCACTTTTAACCGCTCACTTGAATGCGTTGCAATGTCTTGAATGTTTATTTATTATTACCACCCAATTGTAACCAGTTTTTCGCAATATAATTCAATTTTATTAATAAACTTTTCCGAGCGCGCACTTATTTGATATATTCCGCTAGGGTTGCCAAGTCACAATATATTATATTTGCTGTTAGTGCACAATTTATAAAAACAACGAAATTATGTCAACCATTTTAGGAATGGTGGAACTGAAAGGAGTGGTATCAACATCATCTCGTAATTTGTCGACGGAAATTGTGAACTTATTGAGCAAATACAATGTAAATCTCAATCAAGTTGTATGTTATCAATTACATCAGATAATGGCGCAAACATGATCAAAACGACAAAGATTTTAGCGCACTGTAGCATCGCCATCAAGCTGTACGAAGAAGTCGAGGCTGAGGAAGCAAATGATGTATATTTAAAAAATATCGAACTTTTCGAAGATACAATTGACATTCAGTTGAGCGACATTCAAATTTGCCGTTGTGCTGCTCACACTGCTCACACTGCTCAGCTCTGTTCACTGGATGCTACTAAGGGCTTGAACATTAGAACTTATTTGATGAATTGCAGAAACTTAGTCAAGTTCATCAAAAAAAATTCTAACGGCTATCGTGAAATTTTTGAACTAAAAAAGTTGACTCTACCACAACCCGATTGTCCTACACGGTGCGGATCGACATATAATATGGTAGAAAAAGTTTATGCAGCCAAGGAAGTTTTGGACAACGTAGAGTCTGTACAAAATAAATATTTAGATGAGAATTTTGAATTATGCGATAAATTTTGGGAGTTTGTGAAGAGTTATTGTACTGTGTTTGAACCATTACAACGAACAATCATAAAATTTCAAGAAGAACATCTGCATTATGGAAATTTTTTTGCACAGTGGATGAATCTTATAACCAAAGAAATTGTAAATGATTTCAATGATAAAAGTTCTCTTGTAAATAAAATTGGAACGAATTTGTTGCATAATATAGAAGGGAGAACTGCAAAACTTCTAACAAACAAAAACTCAAACGCATGTTTGTATTTGGACCCGCGCTTTAGCCATACATTGTCTGTAGAGCAAAAAAACGAAGCTGTTCTATTTTTAAAACGACTATATAATAGACTGACAGCACTGAACTCAGGTTTCCTGGTTTACAAGAAGAATTCAGCCACAAATTGCACACAAATGGAAGATACCCTCGAATATGAGGATAGGTACCTTAATGATTATCTTTCTAACCACTTCGAAGCTCAAAGTAATAACAACATGGACGTCTACACCAAAATTGAAAATTTGAAGTTACCTTTTCAACGCGTTGATATAAAAGTATTGGACTTTTGGAAGAAAAGACAGTTTGCTGATCCAGAATTACACGCGCATGCGAATATATGTTTTGCAATTCCACCAACTCAGGTAAAATATTCGCTTAGCATAATATAAATAATCAAATTAATGTCATTTACATTCAAGGTTATCATCGAGCGTGCTTTTTCGTCACTAAAATTGATCTTATCTGAACAACGGAATCATCTTAATCATGAAACTTTGGAAAACATTCTCATGGTTAAACTAAATTCGCAATTTTTAGACCATGCTATTGATGATATGCCGTTGTTTCAACCTCCTGAATGGGACTTAAATTTAGAAGAATAACAACATCAAATTAAAATTTTTAATCACAATTGATAATAAAGTTTTTATGTTTTTTACTGGGCGTAGGTCGTTTATTTAACATGTTTTAATATGTTAATAGAATATAACAAATCTTTACATGGAGGACATTGTGGAATTATTATTATTATTATTAAGTAATAGGCTATTAAAGCATCCCGACCTAAACGATCTATTGTGCGCCTTAAGGCACAACTAGGACAATTTAAGACTATTTATAAATCTTGTAATTGCTGTTGGCTTAATTTTACCTATTTGACTTGGGATTAATATCCCGCTGCCAAGGTAATCGAGTCTACGTCTTGCCACCGCTGGACAGTTGCATAGAACATGTTCTGATATTTCCTTCACCTCATGACAGAGTTGACAGGAGTCACTTTCTGCCACACCTCTAATCTTCATGTGATAATTAAGTCTACAGTATCCTGTAAGAAGTTCCGTGTAGATTTTAATATCGTTTCTGCTAAGGCCAAGGATAGCATCAACTTAGATGTGATCAGGATCAATGAATCTTTTTGACTGTCGCATGCCTGTTTGGGCTCTCCAGTGTTCAAGTAGATGTTGTTCCTCCCGTTCACATAATAAGCTATTTGTGAAGCTATTTGTTACCCCGCAGAAGGGCTCTGACCAATGAAAGGAGTACATGCACCCTTCTTTACTAGGGAGTCTGCTATTTCATTCCCCTCATGCCCTTCGTGTCCTGGTACTCACATAAGAGTAACATAGTTCCTCGATGCTAGGGTGTTGAGAAGTTGAAAGCATTCCCAGACCCACCTTGATTGGAATAAGGATTTTGCTAAAGATTTTAGAGATGCTTGGCTGTCTGACAGGATGCATATTTTGGTACATCGGATGCCCCTTCGTATGCTTTCTCTTGCACACAGCTCTAAGGCATGTACCTCTGCCTGAAAAACGGAAGCAGTTTTTCTTATTGCGATTGCTTTGCGGAATTTCGGTCCTATAACTCCTGCTCCCGTACTGCCATCTTTCATTTTGGACCCATCAGTATACCATAATTGAAAGCCCTGTTTTAAGTTAATTTCATTGTTTCTCCAGGTTGATCGGTCATTAATGACCACTTCAAATTCTCTGGAGAAAGCTAATTTTCTATTCATCTTGTCAAAGACCTTAAGGCACGGAGAGTTCCAGACTTCATCTAGAATTTTTGCGTGTCCTGTCAGATTGCCCTCTTTAATATTACATAGATAAGGAAGCCTTAGTGCGGTACTGGTCGCAGCCCTTTTAACTGTGATGTGTAATGAAGTGAGTTCAGTAAGCATTGCTAGGGCTTCTGTGGGGCACGTTTTCATTGCTCCCGTTACGCTCAGGCAGGCTGTTCGATGAACGGTTTAATTATGTTAAAATTCATAATTTAAAAATAGAGATGATGCGGAACTAATTTAAAATGTGAATATTGTGTCACTTTTCTTGGAAAATTGATTCAAGGGTATTATGGTGCGTATGAGTAACATGAAGGACACCTGATAAATTAATTTTTTTAAATTACTTCTGGAAGCAATATCACACTGGAAATATTTATTTTCGAAGAAGAATTTATTGTTTAATCGGAATTAAAAGTAAAAATGAAAAATTTGTGTGACGTATTCCTCTGTTTTTTTTTTTACTGAAAAATCGTGTGAATGTGTTTGGTGTGATATGAAAGATAAATAAATTTTTAAAAGTACTTCTAATTACAATATCGTCCTGAAATTTTTGAGTTTAATGTACAATTTTATTACTAATTGAAATCAAAAATATTATATAAGAATATTTGTAGTATATTTTTTGAAAATTCATTTAATGTAAATATAGCACGCATGTGTTTGATGTGTTTTATGAGAAAAAAAAAATTTAAAAAATTTATAAAAATCGATACTATCATGAAAATTTTTATTTCTTAGTAAAATTTAAAACTGAATCTAAATAAAATATAAAAAATGAAAAATGTTGTGTACCATTTTGAGATATCTTTTTTTTTGAAATTTAACGGTTAATATTAGTACTTAAATATAAACAATCTTAATTGTTTAAACAATTTCTTAAAAGTTCAACCAATTATCTTTAAAACGCAATAAATTTCAAGTTTCTACCTTTTATAGAACTTGAGATGTAGCCATTTGAAAATGTGTCTACAATGCCAATTCTCAAAACCCCATGGGTCCATATCTCCTAGAAAAAAAATTACAAAATTTTTTCCCGAGATACGGGTCTTCTTATTTTATGAAAGGAGCTCATAAAAAAAATTTCAGCCAAATCGGAGGTGATGAGGTCATTTTTTACCAAAATCCGTCCGGTTTGAAAAAGAATGACCCATATGCATATTTGCACATGTGTAAACAAATAGAAATAAAAATATATGGAATAAAATGCATATTATACATGCATAAGAATAGCAACGAGTCCTATAGCGGGTGGAATAGAATGCTGGGAGCTGTGGGAAGATGAGTGTAATTAAACTGGACAATAATATAGAGGGGTGGTTCAGCAAGATAAGTATGAATCATAACATAAATTTGTGACACAAAAATTCATGATAATAAGTAAATATGGAAGATAGTTCATAGAATTGTAGAGGCTGAGCCAGGGTTTTAATGTTGTTGTTGACTCAGACAAATTTGAAATCGTGAAAACTAAGACGGTTAATGTATGTTCTATTTCTGAACATTGTGTGAAAATTTGTGATGTGGATACTGAACTGGTTGGTGATGACAAAGATGAATTAATTACTTTGTTACAAAATTATTCTCAGGTATTTATCGAACGAATTCCACGAACACGCGTTTTCACTGGCGAAATTAAAATTTGTCTAGTCGAATAAAACTGTTCAAAGGCGTCCATATATACTCAGCCCAGTTGAAAGAGATGTATTTAGTGGCAAAATAAAAGATTTAATAGAAAGTAATATTATTAGACTTAGTTGTTCTCCATATGCCAGTCTAATGAGTAAACCCCATGTGGTAGAATATTTAAGTAGGAGAACTTCGCCAGCGGAGTCAAGATATCACTCATATGAGTTAGAGACATTGGCAGTGGTAAACTCTGCAAAGCATTTTCGACATTATCTCCAAGGTCGAGAGTTCTTAGTGGTTACAGATTGCGATTCCTTAAAAGCTTCTCGTACTAAGATTGATCTAACACCTAGGGTACACCGTTGGTGGTCATATTTACAATCATTTAATTTCAACACTCAGTATAGGGAAGGGAAGCGTATGGCTCATGTAGACTTTCTGTTAAGAAATCCTCTCCCTTCAGAACCAAATTTGGTTACTAATAAAATCCCCGAAAAACGAATTAATTTAGCTGAAATTTCGACTAACTAGTTTCTTGCTGAACAGCAACAGGATCCAGGTCTTTATAATATTGTTTCTAGATTAAATACAGGTGATATTGGTGAGAATCTGGCAAAATCATATGAATTGGCAGGTGTACTTTATCGTAAAATACAAAGGATAGATAATATACTTGAAAGAAAGATATTTATACTATCGGATAGTCAAGCTGCTTTAAAGTCCTTGAGTTCAGTCCAATTTACATCTAGGACATACTTTAACTGCTACACATTAGATGTCGACGCAATGCAATATTTCTTTAATCTGGGTTCCCGGTCATAGAGTGTTTCAGGAAACCACTCAGAACATCTGAACCATCTGGGAATATCGTTGATATATGCAAATTGGTGTTGAGTTCTTCCTGTGTCGAATTTCTTAATAAAAGATGTTAAGACTCAATGATATGCAGGCATCTGTATGCAATATGATCACATACTAGCAAAGGAAAATCGAACTCTCTCATAGAGATACCCCGCTGAGATATCAGTCTTGTAGTAGGTTTACTAACAGGCCACTAGGTAATCATGCTAGGAGATTAAATCTACCTTTCAACCATTTTTGCCGCAGTTGTAGTGAGGATGATGAAAGTGCTTTCCACCTGCTTTGTTTCTGTCCGGCACATGCGCACCTAAACATTTTGGGCCTTCTTTTTTGAGGATCTTAACGAACTTCGAGACATCCCTTTAAATAGCATCATAAGCTTTGTCAAAGGTTCTAAATGGTTTTATCCCTTGGGTTTTTAATAATAGGGTAGCACAATTGGCCTATGGGCCTAAGTGGATCCCCCTGGGATCACCAGTATAACCTGACCTAACCCATTTTTATAACTGGTTTGAAAGATTGATTGATATAATAAAATTCCTAGGCTCTCTTAGCATGAACGATAGTGTAAATACTGGTATTATCATAGATTTATTTCTTTTTTATTTGTTTATTCCAAAATTAAATGTTATACAATCATATAAACTAGAATATGTTAGAAATAATTTTTTTGAAGTTCTCTCTGTCTCTAGCAGTATAAAACAAGTCTCCAATCGGTCTTAACCCAGTCCAGTGTCGGATATTCCTCAACTAAGACATTTGTTTTTTCCTCATGCCACATGTGCCTTCGATTGTGCCTTTTACAATCAGTTGCAGCAATTCATATTTTGGACCTCGGATGATATCATCAAAATACCACGCGTTTCTTATTTTGATAATTTTTAGGAGTTCTCTGTCTTTTCTCTGTCATAGAGCCGAGTGGACCAGATATACCGTTTTATATAGCGGATATGTAAATTGATGATGATGTTGCTATTGCAAATCACGTTTTTGAATTCGTGGATAGAGTTTCTAGGCATCTCTATTCGATATTTAATTTCTTGATTTGTTGTCCACTCTTCATTTAGCCAGCAATCAAGGTATTTTAACTTACCTACTCGTTTAATAGCTTCAGTTCCAATTTTAATGGTAGTATCGTTATATGGTAGTCGGTTTCTACTGATAATCATGCTTTTTTTTTTTATTCATGGATAGGTTAAAATCTTTACTCTTTGCATTAACTTTTTTAATAAATTGAAGATCGTCTATATTATCAACTATGAGTGATGTGTCGTCTGCGTAACTAATGTTGTTTATAAATATACCATTTAGCTTTATGTCTTTGTCTAGATC